TCGTGTGTGTTTGATTTACATGCTTTGTTGGATCCAAAAATTTAAGATGATAAATTGTTTCAAACTGAAGTTGTATGGTAGAGTTGAAAACCAGAGATGATGGGATTAGATTAAAGTTTGAAATCTTTCTTTTTGAAGTATATAATATTAAAGTCTGAAATCTTGATTCAATGTTGTTCACAGTTTATTGGAATTAAAGATTATGCGTTGTTATAACTATATGCATGATAGTGTTGATTTATGTAGAAACCCAATAAATTAATCGAGGTTGTTGGGTAAAATAATGTAAATAAAGTTAATTAATCTTCAAAATTCTAATTTTTAGATATCCGTCGAAAATATGTTGGAAATCTACCGGAATAAAAAATTTGTTTTTCCTAAGTAATCAGTGGCGGAATTCCTGCGGCGGCAGAAGTTAACGGGAGTTAAATTTTTTAATATCCGCCGGAAAATTTCCTCGGCGAATATTTCTGCTGAAACAATTAATTTTCTAGTATTATGAAACTAGAGAGTTCATAGATGAACAAATGATTATTCTTTATAGTTCATAAATGAAATAATAATTTTGATCTAAAGTTCATAATCTTTTTGGTGTATGAACTTTGATTGTTCCAATTTTTTTTTTGTAAAGTTTATAAGTGAAACCAAAAAATAAATGAGATAATTAAGAATATTTAACAGAGATCGTAGGTGAAACCAAAAGGTTTAATAGTGAAATAATGATTTTATTAAAAGTTTATAGGTGAAAAACAATGATTTTTGTTTAAAGTTTATAGATTAAACAATGATTTTTTTCATATGTGAAACAATGATTTTTGTTTCGTTTATATATAGACTTTGCTTATTCCAATTTTTTTTTTACCAAAAATCATAGGTGAAACCAGAAAACGAATAAAATAATTAAAGAAGTTTACACAAATTTAAAAATGAAACATTAATTGAAAGAACTAAAGTAATCTTTCTTAATATTTAATGAATGTGATAATTAAGTGAAGTGACCAAATATTTTAAGAATATGATAATTAAAGAATGTAATAATTAGTGGATGAGATATTTAAGTAATGTGGTACCAATATATGAAAAAGACAAAAATGTATCGGTTAACAAAATTAATATTATAATTTTTTGGTTAATGGGAGAAAGATTACTGATTTGTAACCGATGTAAAAAAGTATATTGGAGATTTCTCCCAAAAATACCTCTGTTCACCTATATTTTGATCCTTCATTTTTAATTAATTAAAAATATGTCTTAGTTTATCTCACCCATAGACTTTAAAAATCAAGGGTTAAGATTGGTTCATAAAGTTAACACCAATAATGAAGGATATCAAAACATAGGTGAACAGAGGTGTTTTTGAGAGATATGTCCAATATATTTTTCATCGGTTACAAATCGGTAATTACTCCTTCCTTTTATAGTTCGTAGAATAATCCGTGTTGAATCATGAACACCGTGTTGAACGCTTATGAATATTATGAACATATATGTAACTTATTAACTAATCTTAGCTCGTGCTTTTCACACATGAGACATGGGAACACTCATCAAGACTTACTTGCACGTATTAAGACTTTTGAACACTGAAGTAATTGGCTTTCACATGTGAACAAATTAATATCTAATCAAAGTATTTTGCTTGTGAACACTTGTTGACCAAATGTTAGATGTATAGAGATATTGTTTTATGAACTTATTGAATACATGTGAACAGTTATATACACCATATTGGCTTTCAGATGTGAATATTGTATTTTCTAATCACAAGATCTTCAATCTTCTTGTATTGTGCTCAACCATCTTCACCCATGTTTCTATATCTTGATTATGAATATTTATCTATTGAACACTTTCCATCACTATTATCGTTTAATAAATCAAACCCAGTTGTTGGATGTGAAGAATGATGTCGATTACTTATATATTGAAGATAAAACATCCAAATTTCTTATCATATTAAAACAACAAATCACCAATAACCTAGAAAAAAATAAACATATTATTTTATCTACAATCATAAGATTGATGTTTTCATAACAACCCATGAATATGAAGTTAAGACAAAAAATAATATTACTATTGTATCCTCAATATTAATTACATGGTGATAGAAGAACCTAATATAACAAAAGCTTATAATTGGTCCAAATGGTTTGTAGAGTTAGGGGTGTTTACTAAATTTTCTATTAAACCTTATATGGGTAAATTTGTCTGTTTGGGTAAATTTGTTTGTCATAATAAAAAATGTTTGTTTCCTTTTTCTTCTGAATCCATGATCTGAATGACATAATTAACTATTTTTACCCCCGAATGAACTAAACATTTTACCTGTCAACGATCTTTGCTTGAACTAATAGTATAATAAACAACAGCTTGGTTCCTTATAAAATTGAAGAACCCTAAACAAACAATTCTAGAATCAAAGAACCCCAACAGTACCATCTTCAAATCTTTGCACTTGAACCCCTTCTTGATCTCTGTTTTTTTTCTCTCTATCTAAACTTCATAATTTTATCTTTCTTTTTGCCGTTCTAGTCATAATTTTTGTAGGTTTTGACTGTACAAGCACTAGCTTAATCTGTTACCTTGTGATGAGATTTCTTTTTCAAGAAATCAATACCTTTCATGAAAAAAGGAAGAAAAAAGAACATGGATAAGAATGGAGAAATCAATACCTTTGTTGATAAAAATCAAAGGTTGCCAGAGATAGATGAGGATGCAATGTGCGAAGATTGCTGGTTGGAGATGTCTAGTATGTGTGAAGGTTGCCATGTAGCAAATGAGGGAAGCAACGATGTCTAGCTAGGGTTTGAAGGAAGCCTCTATTTGGAAGCGTGCTTTTTTTAAGGGAGGCGTGACTTTTTAACAAGGGTAGGGATGTCATTTTTTTTAGATTAACGGGGGCAATATAACAATTCCAGTTGTGCGAATATGACAACCATTTTTTTCATTAAGCTGTAAGTAAACACTTCAAAATGTTTGTGCGAATAAGCACATTCAACCATTAAGCTCATTAAATCAAAAGTAAACAACTCCTTAATATATTTTTCATGGTTAACGAATGATCTTAGTGTTCTTTGTGTGTGTGTGTGTGTGTATATATATTGGCGAAAGATTCTATGAGAAAAAAAATTATGGTGAGAAATGTAAGAACCTTTGATTACTTTTGATCTCATGCGTACTCATAAATTGCGGTTTAGAAGGGAATTTATGTTGTGCATCTCGATATACTTCATTAGTGTTGAGATTCAATTATGATTGATCTAAGGATGAAAATCTCTTCACACACATATATATATACATACATACATACATACATATATATATATATATATACATATACATGCATATATATATATATATATATGTCTTGGGTTAGCTACGTATTTTATCAAGATTTGTTTTGATTTTTCAATATCGAATATAATTAAATTCGTAGCAAAGTCGGGACAAATCTATGTATATTTGTCTCGGATTATCTATGGATTTTATCAATATTTGTTTTGATTTTTCTGATATTGAATATAATTGGATTCTTAGCAAATCCATGTCAAATGTATTTTTTTTAGTTATTTAGCGATGAATTTGCAACAGATCTTTAAGTTTAGCTTTTTATTTATTTAAAAAATAAGTGTTCTCTTTCTCCGTCGCTAATCCTTAGTAATTATGTACATTATGCCACGAATTATTGACATATCATACATGCGTCGCAAAAAAATGTGGTAAAAATGAAAAAGAATTGGTTTTGTCATTGATTCATCACTGATCCATCGCAAATTAATGACGGATATGTAGTAAATTATTGGTTCGCTGGCCAGTTTTCTGGTAGCGCATATAATCATATTAGACGACAATACCCTCCACATTAGATATAATATTTGTACTTCCTGTATTCTAAAAATATATCTATGCTGGAAATGACGTATATTTTAATAAATGTATTTAATTAACCATCAAATCCTTAAAATATATCAATAACAATTATTGAAAATGGTGGATTCAACATAAAAATGATATTAAGAGAGAGAACAAGAGAATCAATTTTCATCCTTCATCCCATTTAATAGATGATAGATTTTGAACGAATAAAGTGTGTTACACTCTTAATTACTACCATGACTAGTTGTTCATGATGGTCTTCGTTTTAACCCTTTGATTGATGTAATCGTTCCACCCCATGAGTTAAACTTGATAATCACAAGATAGGTATCGGCCATAACCAAATAAATTCTTGGAGACTCGCTTGCCATGGATCACATGTGAGGAGTCGAGGTATCTAATGTCTTACCTCTTTCTATAAAAACCCCGTCTCCCCAGAAGCTCTAATTATTGCAATTGCTCAGGGTATCCTTTTTTAAGTATAAAAACTATATAGCTATTTCTCAACAGCTATTCATTTTTTATGGTTTAATTACTATTAGTACTTATCGTAATTACAGAAAATAGGGTTTAGTTTTGTGGCAAAACTTTTAATGAAGATCTAGAGCTATATGTTTAGTGCATTTAATTAAATCTAACCTTTTAATTTCATTAAAGATCAAAAGAAAATGTAACAATACTACTATAATAAGAGCGATTTAAAACGAACACCATCATGATGATGGTTTTGGATCAAAATTTTGAAAGCTGCTATGGTAATGAGGATTACGACGCCTGCAAGTTAACCCTGAGCTACTTAAGCCATCTCCTTTTAAATTTGTACCGTAAGTTTAATTTTTATTTTTTTTGATTAACCTGGATATCCAACCCGCTATGCGAGCCGATTAATCCCAGGACGACCATCTGTTTTGCAGATAGCACGGAGTTAGCGCATTTGAATCTCCGTGGCCACAAGGGGATTTTTATTACTCCTTGGATTTGAACCTGAGACCTCCTGATACTTTTAACCTTTAGAACCAAGCTTAAACCAATCATGCACCAGCTTGTGTTGTAAGTTTAACTTTCAGATTTGAACAAGTGATCTTTAAGGATGTATGGGATTCCATGAAAGATAAGCCAAATAGGCAAATAAATGCATCGAGTAATGCACCATAGAAAATTCATAAGTCACGAAAATTACACACATAAGCAACAACTTACTAGGTAACTCATCATCATCCATGCATGAGATCTAGCTAGCCTGCTACTACGATACAATGCCTTCAATATTGCAACCCTTATTGTTCTTTTTGCTCTTTCTATTAGGATTTAAAAAAGAGGAGGACACACAAAACCAGGTGGAGGGGTCATCCCGCAAGTTACTAAGACTTGAAGAGCAAGAGGAATGAATATGTTCAGGTTAAGAAGCCTAAGCCTTATGGTAGTGCAGAGACACACAGCTGCTTCTAACTCTAGCAACCCTCTAAGTACTGGGCAACACACATTTTCCACTGGATTCCCTAATCCTATATGGACCAATCCTCCTAGTAGATCCACACATGCCCCTAGTTTCAGAGCATTTATTGGACATGTTGGCATTACACCTCCACCACCACCTCCTCCTCCTCCTCCACCGCCACCTCCACCTCCACCACCACTTCCACCACCTCCACCTCCTTTTCCTCCTCCACCACTTCCACCACCTCCACCTCCTTTTCCTCCTCCACCACTTCCACCCCCACCTCCTCCTTTTCCTCCTCCACCACTCCCACCGCCGCTTCCACCTCCACCTTTTCCACCACTGCCGCCACCAGTACCACCACCAGGGGGTGTGTATGGTGGATAGGAAGAAGAAGGTGGTGGGACTATCCCCGGAGGAGTGATCACTGGTGGCGCTATAATGGGAGGGGGCATCACGATAGGCGGAAGAACAATAGGTGGTCTAGTAATTGGTGGAGGGTGAACGATTGGTGGCCTAGAGATAGGTGGTAGAACTTTTGGCGGGTTTTTCTTAGGTGGCGACACCTTAGGTCCTCCACCATGATGCGGTGGCTTGGTGGAGGGTGGATATGTTGGAGTTTTTGGTGGAAAAGGTCCGTGGGAAGGTGGGCTACACGGTGGACAGTTTTTGCAGCCAAAAACTATAGGTAGGGACGTACTGGACATGAAAATCAAGAAGATGTAGAACATGGCTGAGACCTTATAATCCATGATTAGGGTTTTGGAAGGAGGGATTTTTGTATAAGAGTTCTGCAGTGTTAATGAGAGCTTTATAGATGAAATCATAATTGCCAACCCGTGAATGTAAAAGTGATGATGAGGAAAATCACTTCCTAGAATTAGAACAAGTCATCATCCTACAACTGTAAAATTCAGGAAGATTTTGGACTTTTGTTAGAGATTGTGCGAACTTCGAAAGCAGTCCGTGAATTTGCTTCAAATCCGTGAAGATGGTGATGGCATATCCATTGATTTCATAAGTAGTCTAGTCGTGCACAGCTTTCCATGCAGACTTTGTTTTACATATGTAAATAGAATCCTCATCATTTTAGCCTACTTACGAATTGAAACTCCAGCTAAATGGTTTTAAATAGAATTATAAATTAGAGGTTCGCGTGACAAACTGACAATTTCCTGTTTACATTATAGAGCTTGAATTCTGTGCAAGCAAATGATGCTTTCACACTAGCTGATAAAAGAGGTCTTTCAATTATCTCTCTCATTTCTGTTTTGTCAGGACATATATAATCAACAAAAAGAATATTAAACCCACAATAAGTACAATTTAAACAAAGAGACTTAAGGTATACAGGTTCTTTTCAATATTATATTATATTTACCAAATAAACCTTAAAAACGGAAAAGACAACTTTATGAACGTGGGAAAGTACAAACATACAAAACAGGTACAAATAGGATATATATCAAGTGCATGTTCTGTTTCTACTAGCTCTTTTAGTTTTGGACAAGCTCATTTTGGCTCGTGAGCCCTTAATTTGGTTTTGTTTCCATCAGGAAACACGCTTGCGCATAATTCACAAGTATGGTTGGCTTGCCAGGTGAGGCTCATGGTTTTATAAAACTAGCAGGTGTCATGTTTGAGAACTTAAACTTTGAGCAGTAGGCAGGATTTAATTTTGTATGCCATTTAAGGTTTTCACCTCAATTAATCTCGCCTATCGTGCATGCATGATGACATTTGTATTTGTAGAGAACAAGCATGTAGTGTTTAATTATCCACCTGTTTCACAACCTTTTGACTCTGGGCAGCTGATGGAGGCCACTAACCTTGCATTTCATTCAATTAGTGAGGATATGTTGCCAATTTTCTTTGCTCAGTTAGTATATATATTATGGACCAGAGCATATGCTAATTAATTACTTGTCATATGTTTGTTCGTCCATGTATCACTCCTCTCTTCCTTAGAAGTGAGAGGGAAAGAAAGATCTGAATCATGACCTGTAACAAGAGATTGAATCAAATAACATTAATCTAAATTTTATGCACCACTCTTTGTGATTGATTTATGCACAAAATGACCTTCAACTATTATCACCCATTGGATCTGTGACAACATATATAAGATTAATGAACACTACTACCCTAAAATCTGGAAGCATAACAACGGGATATGAACTTCCTTTCTTGACTCTGTCATTTTATTTGTTTGTACTTCAGTTTCCAGTGACAAGAATTAATATCCATGCTCAAGGTAATATCTTAACCAACTATTATCACACCAACCGTATTTTCGACCAAGCTGGCCAAACTAAAGGCATGCAAGGGAATATTGTGCAACATAAAATTAATATCTGCCAAAGAGTCGATGGTCCAATGGCACAGGAATTGTCAATAGAGTACGTCTAATGAATCTTAAGTTTCAAGCCCCATCAAATGTGAGAAGTGTGTCTAAGTTTTGTTGTATATAAATAATATGTACTTCAAAATGCAAAATTTGATATAAAAAAAAGCCATTACTAATTTGACAATATTAAGCACATTGGAAACCTGATGGGACCTTCTTTCCATAATAGTTCAGCAACAAGCTTAGTGAAACCAGAATTTCGCTGAGGTTATGCTCCATGCATATATTAGCTTCAATGACAGTGCAGAGGCAGATTGCAGCCTCAAGATAGACGAGGCCATTGACAAGGCTGCATGCAGCCTGAAGTCTTTAATTGGTGCAGTTCCAACAACGAGATGCACAAGGTCGTTGAGGAAGTTGGCACACACTCCCAACTTGAGAGTGTCTTTTGGGCAAGTCTCCTTGTAAGGTTGAGGATGATGATGATATGGCTTAATCTGGTGGTGATGGCCAACCCTTGGGCTGTAAGTGGAACTGACTAAGGTGAATAGAAGCTAGGTTTAGAGCATGGAGAAAATTAGTTTTCACCAAACCCCTTGAAGCCGATCGAAGTGCTTTTGGAATATCTAAGTGAAACATACGTAGCTCAATTAGAGTATATTAGCAACGAGCTAGTTTTGTTTATGTGAGGATGTTAGAAGTGTTTTAAGGCATTTATAGATGGAATCATCGACCATTATCACTAGCTTCCTCACATTGCTTAATTATTTTAGAGTGAATAATATTAGCTAGGGGTAGGGACGATAGAGAAACCCATGTGGGCACGTTGTGTTAGAAAACCGAATATCTTGATGCAAGATGGATTCTTCGGATAGATAATTAAGTATATTTGTTAATATTTATTTACTTAGTTTCGATTTTCTCTATATATGATAGTTGTCACATTCATACACCTCCACTTGTTTTCTATTGGTTGTTATATATGATCTAACACTTAACACATCATATATCATATGCAATTGATAATTAATTTACTAATTTTAGTAGGTTACTTGATTTTGGTCTGAAGGGATCCAATGCCCAACTACTCGGCTAGTGGACACCCATCTCACCGGTTAGAGAGGCCCTCTTTAATAAATTAAGAAGAGATGTTCAGAGGGCAGAAAGACTTGGATATCTTGCCGGTTTGACTCTTATTATCCCATGACATATGAATATGATATTTCCTCATAAATCAAATGGACAAGTAGTTGTATCAATACCTCTATAATCACCGGAAACTAACAAGCTAGTTAAAAAATAGCAATAAGAAATGATATTGAAAAGCTACTAAAACACATGTCAAGTGAGTCAACTATTCTCTTTTAGTGTGATGAAAATACATCTTCAAATATTTGGTATGCATAAAAAAGGCATGTACGTAATCATACCGTGTGAGAACGTTGTAGACAATAAATAGCAATTTTTCCTAAAAGGTTAATTTCATCTATCATAAAGGAGCATCGTAAGACTCTAAATCTCTACAATTTGGTAGGGTATATATTATGGGTAATGCCGAGATAGCTTCAAGGTCAATGTTCAATTAGGTTACAAAGCTATGACACATGACCATATATATATGACTGAAATTGACATGATCGAGTTGAGTTGAAGAGGCCTTCTAATTGGCCAAGGTATTACCAAAAAACTGTTGCTATGAACATCGTGTATTTTTTCCAAAAAAAAAAACCTTGTTGTATTTAATTGGTAAATAAGAGAGTAAATTCTCTAGGTTAGTACAATTCACCACAAGTAGTCTCTACTATATACATACATTATGACCTTGGGGCAAAAACAAAGTTCCATCTCATTGTCAGGCCACGGCCAATTATTACAAGTTGACAATCAGTGATTTTTTAGGAAAATCTTGATTATTTTTCTTGAAACATAAAAGTGATATTTTCAAAACCTACAATGATTAGAAGGTGATGATTGAGAAACAAATGGGAAGATTAAGTATCTCCAAACAGGCAAGCTTGGAAATTTTGTTTAGAAAAATTTTGTTGGATCCCAGATTCTTCAATTTGGTGATTTGAAATAGAATTTAATAACAGAAGTAGAATCACAATTAATCTATCAATACAATAAACACAGTAAGATCTCATCGGGAATTATGGTCATATATGTGTTGATTTCGGATCTTTGATGAATTACACTTGAGAAGTAAAATTGAGAGTAGAATGTACGTAGCTTACAGGTTGCACATTAAAGTTCTGTTGAAAAGTTACAATATAGAAGATATGAAGCAACTATTTATAGGCCCAATAAAGTAAATTCAACAACTCATCCAATGAGAAGCTTTCACCTGTAAAGGAGTGTAACTAACTTTAGCCAAAAAAAGATTGATCTTCAGCGCTTCATGCCTTAGAAGAGAGTAAGTGTTAATTCCTTTGGAAGAATACTTAAAAGCATGACTGGGTCTTCTAACGAGTGTATTCAAAGGATCTGAAAGTCTTTGTTTAGGCAAGTTAAAGATTATCACTTAAAAGATAATAAACTTTTCTTTACATCAGAATAAGACAAACAAGCTTAATACCTTTATCGAAAGCATAAGGTATGTACTAAGAGGAACCACACGAAAATATACACTACTCACTCATGTAGCCAAAATGATAAACCACGACATCATGGCTTCCAAAGATTTTTGGGTCGAGCCATTTGTACCGCTTATTTCTTGATTAATCAATCCCCATCTCGTGCATGTTCTCAACAATAAGACACCTATTGAGCTATGATCAGGTACACCGACTGACTATTATATTCTTAAAGTTTTTGGTTGTCTTGCTTACACTAAAATTTAAAATGGTAAAGCTTAAACCAAGGGCATTGAAATATATATATTCATTTGTTTTAAATGTAGAGTAAAGGGTTACAAGTTGTAGTGTGTAAAGACCCAAAAGATTATTGTGAGTATGTAGGAAGGTTAAGTTTGATGTAAAGTCGCTTGCATGGCAATCTATTTGATCTTGTTATGCCTATACTAATGAAGATCTTAGAGCTAAATTGTAGGTTAAATTTTAAAGACAGACGAACCTTTCTATTAGAATACATTTTAGGATTCCAAATCCAGTACACTTCTTCACTTAATTCTTTGATTTTTCTTCTTTTTTCCGACAATTAGGCAATCGGAGATTCTTAGGAGATTACTTATTTCTTTTGATTTTTTATGCATTTCTTCTATTAATTTAGTTTATAGCATCAGTCTCTCGTTTAAAGTTCCTTTAAGTTGATTTGGAATTATTCATATTAGTTTTTTTAATACTTTTCAAGTAGATTCTCTAGTTTTAATATGAGTTTTATATTTCAGTACTTTTGATGTTCGAAATTTGATTTCATTTAGTTGTATAATATGTTTCGAATGATGAATT